CCACAACACAAAAAAAAAAATCAACAAAAAAACATACCTATAAACGAATATAACATACAATCAATACACAGAAAAACAAACAAATCACGAATCAAAAAACATAAACCCAAAGGGCCTAAAGGGAGAGGGCGAGGGCGCGAGGGGAGACGGCGAGAAGGGCGTGAGGCGCCCAGCGTCTGCCGGAGGAAGAGGACGGCGTCCTGGCCCGTCTTGCCTACTGGCGGCAGTGCGCGTGGAGGGGACGACCGCTCTGGCAGAGGACGTGCGTGCCCGCCCGCCTCGCCTCCGCCCAGCACGCAGTAGCGGCGCCCCTCTCCCGCGCCGCGCGCCGGCAGCTGGTTCGGAGGGATGAGGTCGACGCCGTCGCCGACGCTGAACTTTGGAGGCACCAGCAGCGGCAGGTCGTTCTCCGTGTACCGCGCGTCCACCACCTTGCGGAGGGGTGGGGAGCTGTGAGGCGCGCGGAGATGCCTGGACGCCCAGGTGTGTCCGTGAGTTTGAGTCTACGCTTCAACTCTGTGCGTCCTCCGCCTTTGAGGCGTCGACGCCGACGCGCGAGCCCGACGCGTCGACGTAGCTCGCCGAGCCAAAGTCGTAGGTGGCGCCGCCGACAAACGAGACCCGGTGCCCCGCCTCGCCCCACCGCGAGAGCAGCGAGCGGTAGTAGTCAAGGATCTCGTCCCGAGACGCGAGCTTCTCCGGGTGCTGCGTGAAGGCCTCCAGCGCCGTCGACTCGACGCCGTAGTTGCGCGCGGGCTGGTGCAGCGTCACGTAGTCGTACGCGTCGTTCCAGTGCCCGCCCGGCTGCTCGCGCTTGTCCAGGAGAGTGACCGACACCGGCTCCGGCGCATGGAGCAGGAGAGTGTCGACGAACGACATGCCGGAAGCGCCCGCTCCCACGACGAGGTAGTCGCACGATGACGTCTCCGTCGCCATCGAAACGAGTGGGCTTGACCTGACAGCGAGCCGGGAGAGGGCGGCGAAGTTGTGAAAAGAGAGGAACAAGCCGACGGCCATTCCATAAAGAAGAAAACCCGCGCGCGCTGGCACAGCGCCGCCCCCCCCCCGCACACGCACACACACACACACACACACACACACACACACACACACACACACACACACACACACACACACACACACACACACACACACACACACACACACACTCACACACACACACACACACACACACACTCACACTCACACATGCATGCATGCACAGACAAACAGCCGCTTCCCCTTCCCCTAAGACCTTCCCAAGGGCGAGGACACGCGCAGGCCGCACCTCTAGCGAGGCCCGCATAGTATGTGGGAGACTCCTGCCGCCGCCCCTGCCACCCCTGTGTCAGTGTGCCTGTGGTAGTGAGAGACTGCCAGCGAGAAGCTGGAGGCAGGTCGCTAGACTGAGATGAGACCGCCAGTGGAGTTGGGAGTCCACCGTGCACCGCGCTGCGAGCCTGTCGTGTCCCTTGTCAGGAGCAGGAGAGCCCCACCTGTGCCCCTGATCGTCCTTCCAAAATCCTGCTCGTGCAGGTGTGGACCCTGTCCTCCTCCCCCATCCCTCGCTTGGGTTTCTCTGTTTTCTTTCTTTCTTTCTTTACCGGCGTTTGCACAGCCAGCGCTCAGCGGGAGCAGCCGGCGGGACCAGTGGCGCGATCGAAAAGTCGGCCATGAATCTTCATGCCATGATCATTCGGGTTGCCTCAAAATTTTCTTCGCCTGGGGCGGCGCCGGCAGCGCGGGTTGTCATCTACCTACAAGTGGCGTGCGTCGCAACTTGCGCACGGGGGCTGAGTGGAGGGCGTGCACGGCAAGTGCTAGGGCAAGTGGCGGTACTTTTAGCTTAATGGCTCTCTCTCTCTCTCGCTAGTAGGGTTTTGACCCATGAGATCGTGCAATTTTTATCCAGGGTTTACACTTTTTAGCACGGACCGCGGGCCGGACGCCTGGACGCTGGAGCGGGCGTGCGGGGCTGCACAGAGAGACCCGGAACTGGCCGCCACGTGTCGTCTAAGTTCGTGAGCTCCGATCACCAGCGTCTAAGACTAAGTCCTAGCCCCCGTCGCCTTCCGGGGGCTAAGTTCAGCGCTCGCCTGCGAGCAGGTCTAAGTATAGCAGGTCTAAGTTTTGTGGGCAACCCTCTACCCCAGTCTGCTACGTACTACCCAACGCGGATACAGGCTTGAACGACCACAGGCAGGGTTCCAACTTTTTGCGGGGTGTGGTATGGTGTCGCACAGGTACACGGGGAAAGGATTTCATGCAGGAACACGGCTCACGGGCACGGGACTGGCGCGCACCGACTGGCCGACTACACAGGTACAC